TTCTGTTAGATAAGCTTTGCCTCCTCTCCTGGGGTCCTGCAGCAGCTCGTCCCTGCCTGGGCTTGGCTCCCCCTGCTGGAACCTTTCATACCTGCCCACGTCTTGTGGAGAGCTGGTGGCAGTCTTAGAGAAAGGTACACTAGGTCAGGAAATGCCCAAAGAGACCCTTCAGGCCATGTAGAGAGGACCAGAGAAGGAAGGTAGTCTTCCTGAGATCACACAGCTGGTTTGGGTGGCAGCACCATAATAAGCATGAGAGTCGCTGATTCTTCTGTGCTATCTCACCCTCCAGTGCCATCCGGATTTCTCCTGTGCCCCCTACTTTGAACAAGGTTGCCTTTATTCTCTGAGCCTCTGATAGAAACCTTAAAATCATAAAAGCAATAACAACATTAACAGTAGCAGCCATCAGAGATTCAGTTCCTATTCTGTGTGAGAGACTAGGCTGAGGCTGCTTTTTATGCACGTTGCTGACCCTTATAACAATCTTGCAAGTAGGAGGGTATTAGCAGTAGCCCCATTTTACAGATGAATAAACTAAGATTTTGAGAGATTGTCAATTGCCTCAAACCACCCTCCTAGGGATTGGAAGCCACGAGCTCTGTTCTTGTTCCCTGAGACGATTTCCTGGGCTTCGGTGGGCTAGTGGTGGTGAGGCTGCCCCTACCTGAGTACTCACACCTCGTCTCTTAGGGTTTAAAACCCAAGGCACAGTTCTGCTTGGCAGAATGGAGTGGGGGGGGGGGGCGTGGTATTTGAGAAGGAGACAGTGGTGGTAGGAGTTCAACAAGTACACTTGATACCCCACACTGAATCCTGAGGGAGTGATGCCTAAGAATGAAGTGAGTGAACTTTAGGATTCTAGCTGGAGTGTGCGTTTTGCTAATTTAGTTATAAGCAGGGCTCCGGTTCTGGCTTTAATTTCGTTTGCATATGACTTGTATCGCACAAAACTTCTCTCAGTCTGTTCCCATCAAATCCCAAATAAAGCAAGAATTCCGGCAGGAAGAGAACAACTCCAGGAGACCAGGCCTTGCTCCTTCACCCTGTGTGTGAGGTTAGGGGTGTTGATTTGATTCGATCTGTGTGCATGTGCCTGTGTGTGGTGTTGTTGTTGTTGTTGTCCCCTCTTAGGAAAATTTAAAAATAACTTTCTGCCAAAGATGTGGGCACCAGGACTGTGTTGCTGAGCAGACATGCTCCTCCCACCCGTGGTCTGCTGCTCTGCTGATGTGGCCCCGCTGATGTGGGCAGCTTGTCTGCCTGCAGAAGCCCAGCCCTTCCTTTAATGTGTTTTCCAAGAGGAAAGGCCCAGGAAGCCATGGGGAGGGAGAGGCTGCATGCGGCTCAGGGAAGAACTCAGCTGTTGGGACAAGAGTGGGCTGGCTTTGCGTGCTTTCATGTGGGAACCCAGGGACCTGGATCCAAATCACTCAAGGATGCCAGCAGGAAACCCTGAGATTGTACCCGGGCAGGCTATGAGTGTGCCCATGTCATAGCCGGGAAGACTGAGAAACAAAGAGTAGAAAGGATGCACAAGTTACATGCCAGGTTTAGAGGTAGGACTGGCAGCTGTGTGCCTAGCACCAAATACATATAGGCCCCAAGGGGCAGATTTGTTATTGCATAACCTGTTCACCTGCCCTTTTCCTTACACACTCTAATATTCTCAAGATTCCCTATACAACAAAATTAAGTGGTGTCATCGTTTGAAAATGACTTTTTATGTTTTTTAACCCAAATTTCTATTCATTCATGCATTCGACAGTATTTATTGAAAACTTCCTGTGTGCTCATCAGTATTCCAGGCATTGGGGATACAGTAGCAAGTGAAACACACAGGACTTGTGACCTGGTGTAGCTTATGTTCCAGTTGGGGAAACAGATATTAATCAAATGTCCACATGACTACAGACTGCCAACTGTGACGTGTAGGGCAGAGAAAAAAAGGGATCTGATGGGCTTCTAACATGGGACTTGGCCTAATCCCAGGTGACAGAAGTCTGTGTTTAGTTTCATACTGATTGTAAACACTGATTTGTTTTTGTTTTTGAACTCAAGTATAGGAATTTAAAAATTGTTTTCTTTTTTTAAGAGATGGGTTCTCACTCTGTCACCGAGGCTGGAGTGCAGGGGTGCTGTCACAGCTCACTGCAGCCGTGAACTCCTAGGATCTAGTGATACTCCCGCCTCAGCCTTTCCAGTAGTTGCGACATGTACGCCACCATGCTTGGCTAGTTTTCTTAAACTTTTTGTTGAGATGAGGTCTTGCTATGTTGCCCAGCTGGTTTTGAACGCCTGGCCTCATGTTACCCTCCCACCATGGCCTCCCAAAGTGTTGGGATTAAAGGAGTGAGCAACTGTGCCGGGTCTAAAAATTGTTTTTCATTGAAACTTCTTCTCAAGCTGCAGTCCATTTGCTGATCTTTCAGAGTTATATTTAACATCCAACATATTAGCTGTTCGTATTTGCTTAGTTTAACCGGTAGGCTTGATAGACACACTTTCCATATTTTTGCCTAAATCATTATTCTTGGTTCTGTCCAATTCAAAATGACTTTCCAGTGCTGTTATCTACTACCAAAGACCTGTCTAAGAAGACTTAGATCTGCATTCACATCTATTCCTCAGTAGTCAACAGCATTGTTTTTTGGATTCATTCCTCCCTTTATAAGCCAAAAATATTCTAATATCTCCATGTGCAAGGTTTCCCAGAGTCTGGGTTGTATTCTTTACCAGGGACTTAACTGACTTAAAGGCATTCTATTTATCAGTATCGGTCTCAGGCTTCAAATCGCCCTGGTCCACAAGTGTTAATTCATTCTCTTTGGAAGAAAAGATGGAATCAAATTACATCTTGATTCACTCTCTTGCTCACCTGTCCCTTAAACCACACACCGCTACTCATTTAAAGACACTTTTCCACTGGGCAAATGATTCAAACAGATCTTGAAATAATACACGCAAGCAGCCAACAAACATATGAAAAAATGTGCCACATCACTAATCATCAGAGAAATGCAAATCAAAACCATCATGAGATACCATCTCACATCAGTCAGAATGGCTTTTGTTTAAAAGTCCAAAATAACAGATGTTGGCAAGGCTGTGGAGAAAAAAAAAAAAGATACTTATACACTGTTGGTGGGAATGTAAATTAGTCCAGCCACTGGGGCAGTTTGGAGATTCCTCAAAGAACTAGGAGTTGAACTACCACTCGACCCAGCAGTCGCATTATTGGGTACATATTCAAAGAAAAATAAATCATTCTGTCATAAGGACACATGCATCTGTATGTGCTTGACAGTGCTATTCCCAATTGCAAAGACATGGAATCAAACTAGGTGCCTATCAGTGGTGGAGTGGATAAAGAAAATGTGGAACATATACACCATAGAATACTATGCAGCCATAAAAAAGAATGAAATCATGTTCTTTGCAGTAACACGGATGCAAGTGGAGGCCATTATCCTAAACTAACTAACACAGAAACAGAAAAACAAATACCACATGTTCTCACTTATAAGTGGAAGCTAAACATGAGGTACACGTGAACATAACAATAGAACGATAGACACTCTAGGGATTACTAGAGGAGGGAAAAAGGGAGGGGAGCAAGTGCTGAAAAACTATCTGTTGGGTACTATGCTTCCTACCTGGGTGATGGATTTAATCATACCCCAAACCTCAGTATCATGTAATCTACCTTTGTAATAAGCCTGCACATGTACTCCTTTATTCTAGAATAAAACTTATTTTTTAAAAGGGAAAATAAAGTAAAAGTTAAAAAATAAAGAAGACCACTTTTCCCTTTCTCCTTGTGTATTTTAAGAAGGATGGAAATGAGAGTAGATGGTAACAGAGAGAGTAGGGAGATAGGCTAATGTGGTGGTTCTCAGAATGTGCCCTGGGGGTTCCTGAGACTCTTCCAGGGGCCCTTGACGTCCAAGTTGTTTTTCTAAGAAAACATCATTTGCTTTATTTCACTCTCATTCTCTTTCAGGTGTACAGTGTTTAAGTAGCTATGATGTCACAATAGATTGGATGCAAAAGCAGATATGAAAATCTAGCTGTTTTCTACTAAGCCAGACATTAAAGAAATTTGCAAAAAGGAGCAACTCTTCTCATTAAATTCTTTTTCATCTTAGAAAATATATTTTTCTCTTAAAATGTTATTTATGTTAGCCTATAATGGGCTTATTGATGTTTTAAAATGAATTAATATTTCCCAGTTTTAATTTCCAATACGGTAAATATTGACAGCAATAACTCACAAACAAAAGGTCCTTGGGGTCCTCAATAATTTTTAGAAGCATAAAGGGGCCCACCCTGAGACAAAAATGCTTGAGAACTACTGAGAAAGCAGGTAGGGGGTCTCCTAGGTGTTAGAATACCAACTCTTCAAGAATCAGATAGGATTCAAGGGAAAAGCTTAAATTCATGTCATTGCCGATTCGGATGTCCGCAGTCTGCCCCAAGGTGTGAGTTGCATAGGATGTTCCTTTGGAACTATGAAAATACCTTCTCTCGCTGGACGAAAAGGTCTGGACAGGGCATCACCTTGCTGCCTCATCTTAGAGGAGTGCTCCAAGGATCATTCCTGAAGCTCTCCAGGGCTCTGGACCAACGAGGCAAAGTCGTGCTCAACATGAACACAGTCTGTGGAGCCTGGCTCTCATCAGCGCAATTCCTTATGAGAAATGCAGCACAGGAGTTCTCCATCCATCTGCTTGCTGGGCTTGCATCCTGCTCTAGGGATCATAAACAAGGCTTCTTCGGCTTAGGGAAGAAAGAGCTGGGTCTCAGGAGGAAATATCTTACGAGCCCTGGGTGGTAATCCCAGGCCAGATGTGCCAAGGGGTTGGAGTGGCGTTCCAGGCCAGATGTGGAATTGGGAGAGTGCCCAGCCCCTCCGAGGGCTCAGCTCTCCGCTTGACAGGGTCCTCCCTTTGCTCCACACTCAGATTAGAATCTGCAGCTCTGAACAAGTAAAAATAAAAACCTGTGAGCTTCCACCCCTGGCTCCCCCAGGACTCCATTGAGAGCCTCTGCAGTGGCAGCCAGAGGTTTCAAAGGTCACCCCAGCTGGGCGGATTAGAACAACAGATCTCCCGGACCGGGTGAAGTTGGCTGCTCAGCGGAAGGCAAGTTGCAACATCTGCGAGCAGAGTCAGAACAAAAGCCCCTTAACTTTTTCGGTCTGGCCCTGGGCTCTGTGGCGCCCGGCACTCCTTCGCTCTCCATTCGTGGCTGGACCTTGGACAGGAACCTCTGCAGTACGTTGGAGGTGAAGTGTGGCTGCCTCGCATCCTGACTCATGTGAGAGCTGCCAGGGAAGAGGCCGCGGTAAGGTGGGTCCCGTTCACTGGTGTGTGGCCCTGCCCAGCTTTGCTCCGGTAGGTCACAGCAAGTCAGCCTGGCACAGCTGAGGAGCAGCGCACTCCGGAATTAGGAGTGATTAAGGAACTTGTCAGGATTTGAGTGCATTGCAGAGAGGATTAAGGTGGGAGAGCGGAGCTGTCAGTGCCTGGGGCACTTGCACGTGGGTGGTTTTGCTGCCTCTGATGTGTGCCGTTGTTGGAGGTAGGGTTCACGGCAGACTGCGGAGCCTGCTTGGGAGCCCCTCCCTCTAGGGAAGGTATGGTATTTCCAAGATGCCCGGCAAACTGACCAGGTGCTTCAAGACAACGATCACTTAAAGTGTGTACCCTTTAGGTAGGGAAGGGGACAACTGGTTTCTCTAAACTCGTTCTGTGGTATTTCTTGAGCCCTGCTTTTTTAAACTTATTTTCTGAGTCATTTGCCTCCTAGTTGCAATCTCTTTTCGCTGTAGTTGAAAGTGTTCCTTTCTGGGTTCAAGAGACAATTTAAAGTGCTTTTGATCAAATTAAAGTCCAATTAACTCAATGCTGCTTCAAATGTTTAATATATTATGCTAGTTGTGAAAGCCTCATTTGGAGGTGGGCTTTGGCCCAAGCACCATGGGGTGAGGGGTAAAGGGGTAAGGGGGAGTTTCCTGCTCTTGTACCACTGCTCTGTTTTTTTCTTCTTACTTCTCTGTGTTTCCCGTTTGATCTGTGTTTAGCTTGTATTGAATAAGACCCCCTAGCTGAGTGTGTTTGATTCTAGCCACTGAGCATTGCTCTGCCATTAGAGAAATTATTGCAGAAATCACCCAACCTCTCTGGTTTTCTTCATTGGAATATAGTCAACAGGCTCGACAAGGGATTAGAGAGGAACAAGGTTTGGTCTAATTTACTTTATTATTATTATTATTATTATTATTATTTTGTGACAGAGCATTCCACATATGTCAGTAACCATTAATTGTGTGGCAGGGATCTGTTTATGCTGAGGATGGCAGTGGGTGGAGCGATGGGCTGAGGGTGAGCAGAGCTGTTTGGTGTGGCTGGGCTCTGGTCCTGCCCACACAATAGTTGAGTAACTCTCCCCCACAAAACCGCCTTGCAAGGGACTAGATGTTCCCTTGCTGTATTGATTTGCCTGTTCCTTTTCTAATCTGAAGCCACACCTCTCCTAGGGCTGGATGACTCCTGTCTAATGTGCTCTTGAGACCAAGCAGGTGCCTTTTGATGAGAACATCTGGGGCCTTCAGGAGATTTCCATGGGTTTAGATCAAGAGGACTTGCACAGAGGGTCCTGAGCCACTCCTACCTTCCAGGAGGATCTCACCACTCCTAGCTTCCAGCTCCCCTGAAAGCAAAGGTAGAGAAGAGTCTTGTGTCTTCAAAGCCAGGCCTGACAGTAGAAGGGGGAGGCACGTCCTCTGCTCCTCTTCCTCTGTACAACTCCCAAGCCTCTGCCTATTGCATTTCTCGTTACTGGGGATGGCCAGAAATGCCTCATTTGAGATTTGGGGCCTCCAAGAAGCCAGCAGATTTTGACTTTGTAATCAGACCTTGGTTTGGTTTTCACTTTTGAGCTGTGTGACCTTAGACAAGAGTAGTTGGCTTTCTGAGCCTCCGTGTCTTCATTGTGAAGGGGTGATCATTAGAACTGCTCTTTCTGATTGAGATGGGTGTCCAGCGTGATGTCAGCACATACACCTTGCTCATTAAATGATGCTGCTAGTACAGACACAAAGGTGCTGCAGGAAGCTGCTCATGGGCCTCAGGCCCTCCTCCCCACCTTCCCAGGGAATTCTGCTATCTGCTTCCTGCTGCTGTTTTCCAGTCACCCCACTCAGATACCCTTGCCTGAAGATAATTGGGGCTTCTTGCTGTCCTTGGTGAAAGGGTCTAGATCTATATTCAGGGTGGAGAGATGGGCGTCCCTTTGGGAACTGGATGATAATGATGTTGACAGTCACTGCTATCGAATGCCTTTTGTGCTATATTATGGGTGTTATATACATTCTCATTCAAGCCTTCCCTTCAACTTTATGAGGCTGATATGATCGTTCCATTTGACAGAGAAAGAGATGGAAGCCAAGAGAGTTGGAGCGCCTTGCCCAGCCCACAGCTTTAAAGTGGCCGTGCCCCTGGGTTTGTGGCAGGGTCACAAAAGTCTGATCCTCATGATATCTGTCCCCACCTCTACCCCAAGTCTCCACCCGGTCCTAGCTGCACAGTGTATCTGTCACTTCACCTCTGTGGCAGAGGAGGAGGGCACAGGGAGCAGTGTTCCTACTGGGGTGTGGTCCTGGGTAGCTATGTGGGATATCAGAGGCCCATTCCTTCCCCAGTCCCGTGTTTCTACGGTCGTCACACAAACACACAACACACATGCCCCACTCGTGTAATTGCTGCTGTATACCAAGTCTGTAGCTTGGCACATGGTAGGTATTTAATAAACTTAATTGAGTGAATGAGTATATCTTGATGCTTGCCTTTAAAATTATAGTATGACTGCTTTTAAATGGTTCTACAAACATATACTATATGCTATAAATGCTATAAATATGGCAAAATGTTAATTGTTAAATCTAGGTGATAGGCACTGTGGGTGCTCATTTTATCATTCATTCTACTGTTCTGCGTGTTTGAAATTTTCCATAATTTTTTTAATTTAAAATTTCTATATCATCAAATTCATATCATTATTTTCCCTGTAAATGTGTATCCATAAAGCCATCTGGTATTCCACTGTATTTGACCAGTTCTCACTGTTGGATTTTTAAAAATACGGTCTAGCTTCTGTCATAAATAATGCAAATAGTGTTCTTGTAAATAAATTTTGGGCTGTATCTCTGATTCTTTCCCAATAATTTATTTCTAAATGTAGGATTATTGGGAAAAGATATGGATGTGTTTTTAAGAGTCTTTTTACCAAATTGCTTTCCAGGAAGACTACATCAGTTTTTATTCCCCACGGAGGGTGTGGGCATGTCCATCTCTCCATGGTCTCACCAGCAGCATAGGTTATGTTTCTTCTTAAATATCATTTAAATGAAATGTTTTGGTTCATTTTTAAAAAGTGACAGCTTATTCTTAATTTGCAGTCTTGGATTATCGTTGGAGCCAAGCAGTGTTCAGTGGTACATCTTCTGTGCACTGTTCAGGTCATATCATCCACCTGTTGATCTGTTGGACTGCTTTCTTCTGATATGTAAAGACTTTTGTTTGGTGCAAACATTTTATTCCAGGTTATCACCCATCTTTTAATGTTGTTGATAGTATTACAGAATATTTTAATTTTGTATATATATGGTAGCGGCTCTCAGCTTTTCCCCTTGTTATCTCAACTTTGACTTTTCCTTTCCCACCAGCCCATTTGGCTGCTTACAGGAGGCAAGAGGGCCCAGTGGTTAAGAATAGTGGCTCTGGCACCAGGTGCTTGGGTTCAAATGCCTGTTCTGCCCCCTAATAAAAGCATGAACTTGGACAAATTTCTCAATCTCACTGTGCCTCAGGTGTCTAATCCATAAATTGGGGATACCAAGATTTGCTGTCTCATAGTGTTGTAAGGAGCAAATTAGCTATTTATTATTTATAAAGGGCTTGGAAGAGTACCCCACATCTAGTAAGTGCTACACTAGTGTTTGCTTTTATTGTCACCTACTGCAGGGAACCTGTGAGTCTTATCATTTGGAAAGGAATTTTGTTTGCAAAGCTAATATCTTATCAGTGAAAGAGAAAGCTGGGTTTATCAAGCATGGGATGTGCCCTATTACAAACGAGCCTAGTCCCTTTGCTACTTTCACTTGAACTTCACAAGAGATATCCCCATTTTATTTTTGTTAGAGATTATTAAATTTAAACAAACTAATTACATGCCCCAGAAAGCGTTGTTCATTTGTGTCAGCTTACCTGACTCACAGCATAGGACTTAAGTGTGTGACCAGACAGCCAAAGAAAATGAACAGAAAAGCAAATCTAGGAATATGGCTTCTCTTCAGTTCAGCAGATGTGTGTCCCACATCTGGGCCAGTCACCAGGGATTTTGTGGTAAGAAATGATGGTCAGCCTGGAGTTGTCCCCACCTGCACTTGGAACCTGGGACAGGGACACTTAGGATGTATTCCAGGTGGTGGCAATGGTTTTCCAATGGCCTTGGCTGGAGTCCGACCACCTAGCTGCTTTCAACTGCAATGTTTTCCCGGCCTGGTTCTTCAGATTTTTTTATGGATTTTGGAAATTCCCCCTGAAACTCCACCATCTTTCCAACAAATCTCTTCTCTGTTTATAAAAGCCAGAGTTAGCTTCTGTTGCTTGCAATCAAGGACTCAGATATGTATTTATAATAATTCCACTTTAGGAATCATTCCTAAGGAAATCTGTAGGAACTCAGGCATAGATTTCAGCACACATAGGCTCATCACCAGGCATCATAAAATATTTAGAAACTATCCAAATGGCCAGCAGTAGGGAGATAGTTATGTAAGTCATACATCAATATGATGCATATTTGAAAATCGAATGTCTTAAAAGCAACCTTTCCCCCTTATTTTAAGAAAAATTGTAGGGAAAAAAATAGAAAACATCTATGTACATGGTATGCTTTCAACGATGTAAGATATGTGTTTTTCTATATTGATAAAAACAAAATTGGAGGGAAATGCACCACCATTCCATATAATAGAATTATGGATCTTTTCACTTAAAAAAACTTTTATTTTAGTTTCACATTTTCACATTTTAAAAGAACTCTGGAGCTTGATAAATCTGGGTTTAACTTCCACTTCTGCCACTGAATAACTGTGTAATGGGCAAGTTATTCCACCTGTCTGAGCTCAGCTTCTTTATTTGCAAAATGATGACTATACATACTTCATGGGGTTGTTCTGAGGATTAAAACAAATGAGATAATGTATCAAGTGCTTGATATGGTGCCTGGAACAGAATGTATTCTCAATAAATGATAACTTATTATTTTTACATATTGATAATTTTCAAGTTTTATGATGAAATGTATTTAAAATTGAGAATAGAAATGTATTTAAAATTGAGAATAATTAAATATCACAAAAGAGTTGACCATCGCTCTAATGGGTAGTCATCTGTTACTTCTCACGTCAACCCCTTATTCTGCTACCCTTGCCAGCCCCAGTCGCATCTTATCTAGTCCCCAGTAGGCCCGGGACCAGGAGTCAGGGCTTAAGGTATTCTTGCCAGTGATGCCATCATTTTGCTCTGTCTCCTGGGGCAAGCGACTTACCCTCTCTGGGCTTCAGTTATAAACAGAGGCATTAGCCTGGATAATGTGAAAACACCCCGCTTCTCTGATGACCTGTGATCTCAGAACCTTGTTCACAATCTGCTCCTCAGAGGTGGGATGTCCCCCCTTGCCTGCCTCCTTCCCTTCATTCAGCCAAGACTCTCCCCTTACCTCACCCAAGGTCCTTGCCGTATTAACCCAAAACTGCCTTCCTCTCTTGGAGTATGGATCCCATTTTTCTATAATCTGCAAGCTCTTGCAGTTCAGGCTAAAGCAGTTTCTACTTTCTACCAGAAGTGCTTAATGTAGATGTTGGTCCTGAAGAGTTAGTGACTATTAAATACAGATTATTGATACCTGTTACAAGAACTGTTTCTCCATTCTTGTCCTCAGCTTCCCCTTTCCTAGAAGAAAGGGACAGTGAAAAGATGGGAAGTTCCCCACAGGGTTTTGAGGAGGCAGGGCATTGCCCTGGGAACCGGAGCGTTTGTCTGGGATGGGCTGTGCCTTGTCCTGGCACTTTGTGTATAAAAGACAGAGCCTCTCATCTTCAGAGAGGAACTGTGGGTGGACACTGACCTAACTGGGGATCTGCTCCACGTAAAAGCCACACCTCCAGGCTGGACACACCTGATGCCTGAAGGGAAGACAGGGCTGTGCTTTGTCTGATCTGACCTGGTCCTTTTCCTTCCTTTTTGCAGACCATGGGGGATGTGAAGCTGGTTGCCTCGTCACACATTTCCAAAACCTCCCTCAGCGTGGATCCCTCAAGAGTTGGCTCCATGCCCCTGACAGAGGCCCCTGCTTTCATTTTGCCCCCTCGGAACCTCTGCATCAAAGAAGGAGCCACCGCCAAGTTCGAAGGGCGGGTAAGAAGTGTGGCTGGATGGGGAGACTGTGGGGAAGGCTGGGCAGGGGCCACTGCTCCTTGTCAAGCCTTCTCCTGGGCCAGCTGGATGTAATAGAAGGCTCAATTTTTGTTTGGACCTTCATGTAAAATGAACCTGTGCCACTTTTCTCTCTTTCTTTTGTTTGTGGTGGGTTTTGGTCTGTGCTGGAGAACTTGGGGGTGGGGAGGACGCTGCAAGTTGACCATCCTGTGATGTTTTGCTGTTAATGTAGGTTGTGTTCTGGGTACATGCTATGTAATTACAGGAAAAGAAGACATGGTCCAGTGGCAGGAAGAATACAGCTTGGGTTTATATATGTCCTCAAATCTGGACAATTGAGAATTGACTATAATTTTTCTCTTACTTTATCCCTGGAAGGAGTGTTTGGTTAGCTGACCTTCTTGTAGATCTACTTGGTATACGCAGAGCAGTGATAGGACCTCTCATTTCACTTCTGTCACCTGTCGTAAATGAATACTGGTCACTTGCCCTTACTGGGACTCCACTTCTTCTTCTGCAAATAGGCATGATCATTCCTTGTCTACCTCGTACTCAGAGGAGGAGAGAACACTGAAGAATTGCTGCGCTATGGCTCAGCCGTCTAAGAGGGAGCTCCTGAAAGCTTGTAGAAGGAGGGAGTCAGGCTGATGATTCTTTCTGAATGATGCCAGACCATACCTTTGTTGTAAGTGGTGGGTCTGGCTACGTGGTTGTCTGAAGAGTTTGCAGGAGTTGCTGCCTTGAAAATGGCCTGGGGCTGTACTGAATTGCATGCTGTGCACGGACCTGTGTAATCAAGACTGTTTGCTAATGATTCTGACCTACTAGTCCTTTCATATCTTTTACCAGAAGAAGATTGTTGGGGATGTTAGTGACGTTCCTGGGGAGTCTGTTTCTCTCTCGGCACTACCAGGATGAGGGCTGTCTTCTGTTGCCCTGACTGTGGTCCCCTCTGTCCTCTTATCCTCAAAGCTAACAGGAAAGAAGCAACAGGAAGAATCTCTGGGGGCTCATAAATGGTTTAGATGACCATAAAAAGGAATGAAGTACTGACTCATGCTATAACATGGATGAATCTTGACACATTGTGCTAAGTGAAAGAAGCCAGACACAAAAAGCCACTGATTGATTATAGGATTCCATTTATATGAAATGTCCAGAATAGAAGTATCTATAGAGACAGAAAGTAGAAAGGTAGTCACCAGGGGCTGGGGGGAAGAGGGATGGGGAGTGACCGCTGATAGGTACAGGATTTATTTGGGGCTGATGAAAATGTTCTAAAGTTAGTAGCGGTGGTTACAACTTTTGAATGTGCAGTACTTACAAAATACTGAATTATACACTTAGAAAATTAAAAAGTAAAAAACATTTGAGAAATGGCTCAGACAGCAAAATGGATCTTAACTGCACACCCACCCTTCTGCCATACTGCTTGTGAGACATAAACTCCTTCCTCAATTCAAACAAACGTGGAGAGGAAGAGACAGCAGCAACCATCTCATGTGATGATGCCTTTGCTTCCTTTGCTGACTGTGGCGTCTATGAAAGAACCAGGCCTTGAGTGACTTGATTTGGAACTTCCAATGCCTGAGCATCGGCCAGGAACCAACACACTGGAGTTCTTGGTTGCTCAGTGTCCTCTGGTTGGCAAGTCATACCTTCTATGTGGCTAAGGTTTTCTTCTCTGAGAAAAGACAACTGGCTGTTTCTGTATTTCTGGCCCACAGGGGTGGAAGAAGAAAAGTTGATAGATAGTAAAAGTACTTCATAAAGTTAGAAACTATACTTTGGTAAGACAGTATTTTTCTTAAGGAGTTAAAATTTACGTAACATAAATTTAACCATTTTAACGTGAACAATTTAGAGTCATTTAATTCAGTGTTGACTGCAGTATTCTTAAAATGTAGCTTTCTATGTGAAAATTTTATTTTTCTTATATGGATGAAATAGTTGACTTTGTATGTTACATGTGGACTCTATATCAAAATGCCTGTGTTCCTCATGAGTCAGACTGCAGTGCTACTTGACCACTTGCCACCTGACTTGAATTAACCCAGAACAATGCCTTGGCAGCACACTGATGTATACAGAAGAAAGACTATTCCAGAGAGACATCGAAAGCATCTGGCTGTCTTGCAGAGACAAACGCAGAGGGAGAGACTGTGGAAGAAAATGCCCTGGAAGCTAGCATGCTGCACGTGTGTGGTGTTAGTGCAGGAAAGAACACAAAGAGACTTTTGCATCAGGGAAGGGCTGCACATCACATGATCCCAGAAGAAGACAACTGGTTGTTTTGATACGAAGATGAAGTTAAACAGGGGGTGTTTCTGACCTGGTGACCTCAGAGAAGTGAAGAGTTAGGTGGTGTTAGCCTGACGTGGCAGGGGTTTTGAGCAGGAGTTGCTGGTTATAATAAGCTCCAAACGCGCAAAACTCGCAGTTCCCTATTGGGCATAGTCAGTGGTGATCTGCCTTCAATGCGTGTCAGCCTTCACTGTTGGGGTCACTTGACCTTGCCTGAAGCCGACCCCTCCCTCCAGGTCCTGGGACACACCCCTCCCTCCAGGTCCTGTTCTAGGTGCTCAGTCGTCACAGAACCAGTCCTGGTATCACTCTCAGGATGGCCTCAGGACCACATTTCTCTGGTAACTGAGCTCTTGCAGGACCTCTTATGAGTGACTAACGTAAAAAGTATGCCTTCAAGCAACTTCTGGGGCCCAGGCTGGTCCCCGTCACAGCTGACAGGAATCTTCCTCCTGGCCTGTGTTCACAGCACCTCTGCCTGCTTTCCTCCGTGAACTTGCCCCCACAGTGGAGGCAGTGGAGGGTCCTAGGGCTTCCCAGCTTCTTCTGAAAGAGGTTCAGGGACCCTCCCATCACTGGGAAACACAGTGGAGACCACAGATGTGACAAAGTTCTAAAGATTTGTTTCCTACTGCCTTCGGAGCTGCCAATCAGAAGTTCTTCAAATGGGTGCTTTTGGTTTTTATTCTCGTAAGACGTTAAAAACTATTGCCTACTCTGCCCCATTTCCTTTTTATGCCTACTTTTAGACAAAGGACTTAATGAACCACTGCCTTCAATAAAGCTCCTCTTTCTATCTAGAGACTTGGGTGACATTAAGATGGGACAATAGGCACCCCCTGGTGGTTCAAGCCTCTTTCCAAGGAGCTCCGAACTATGAGATGCTCATCTCTGTGGGCTCAGTCTCTCAAAGCCTTTAGGGCTTTTCCACCTTGTGGGAGATACATTGGGTAGCCAACACATAACCTATGACCAGGCCCTTTTGCCTTTGCCCTGTTCCATGATGGGGTCCACTGTAGAGGCTTCCTTTGCAGCTAAAGGTAGCCCAGTGACACATTTGGGCTGAAGTCAGGGAGCTTCTGGGAAAGCCCTAGACTTCTGATTAAAGGAAGATAAAAAGATATCACTGGTGCTCTCATATTCCACCCTTCCCTTGCTTCCTGCCTTGAATACAGGTGTAATACCTGGTGCTTGGGCAGCCAGATTAAAACCATGAGGCAACAAGCCTGCACACTAAGGATTGGTTGGTGGCAGGGGGACAGCAGTGGAGGGAGTGAAAAGAACTAGCAGCTAAGAGACACAAATCCTAAAGCTCAAAGGCTGTCCCAGATACGATCTTTGCAGTGATTCACACAGGAAATGTTACAGAAAGTATTCCTAACTGATAAATAGCTCATGAGATGCTTGTGGAGATAGTGTCTCCTTAAATGAAGGGAATGAATAGGAGGAAGACATTGCACAGGGATAGGGGTTCCTTATTCTGAGTTGATTGTGGCCCTGCAGTGAAATCATTCTAGAAGAATTCATTCACTCCCTGGCTGTGGCCATCAGACTTTAACCAACAGGGCCTAGGATTTATAAGAGGAAGTCAACAACTACTATTTGATTAGTGTCTACCGATTTGACCTAAGTCCTTCCCTCCTCTCCTCTCTCCTCCCCTCCCCTTCCCATCCCTTCCCTTCCGTTCCTTCTTCTTCTTCTTCTTTTTTTTTTTTTTTTTTTTTTAAGCTTTGCCAGCCCAAAGCTTGAGGAGACTGTATTTTCAGGAATTCATGAAACTTTATCTCATTTCCACCTTTAGACCCAGACAACCAGATCCCCCTTCCCATGCCCACAACCTAGAAGCCCCTGTTCCTTTATCCAGCTGTTCTCTCTCCACAGAGCAGTGGAGCAGGCGACCTGTTTGCCCAAGGGATATGCCCACTGGAGCCAAACTGTCCCCATGTGCTGGGTACCCAGGACCCAGGAATTTTTTTACCAAATGACCCTGAGCACACTTCTTACAGCTGTGTAGACCTCCTCCCATGAGAAGATGTTGCTAGGCCTGGGGGGTGGGGTCAAAGGGCAGCTGTTTGCTTGGGAGGACAGTAAGGTAGGTGAACATTCAGATGTGGGCTCTGTGTTCTGCTCACATGCCTAGTAGAACAGGATGTAAGGGTGGAAGGAGAAGTGCACAGGACTGTGCCACTGTCTGTTCATTGCTGGGCCTCAGGAGTGGCTGGGGGCTTCCATGTACAGACAGCCAGGGCTCCGCAAATGCCAGGGGCTGGTAGAAACACCCCTAGCTGCTCTGTTGCCCATGCTGGCAGCTGAAGTGTTGATGGGCTGCTTTCCCCACCACAGAGTCAAGTATGAAAAGAGAGCAATGGTGGGAAAAATCATGAAACTACTGGAGATTTCTTCCCTTCTACCCTGGAATTTATTCTTATCAGAAAAAAAGCAAACATGGTGACAAGCCCTGGCTGTGCTGTGACTCGGATGAGCTGATACTTTAGTGTCTCTTGAGAAGTACAGCCCAAATGAGGTTTCAGCTCACACTCCTGGCCTTAGCGTTCGCTGAAGTGGGCTTTGTGATAAAAAGCGAGCCCTGGCCCTGTCAAGGCGTGTTTCTGTCTAAACTGTGGAGGGTGGAGGAAGGGAACATGAGAATACTGAACCATGGAAGCACGAATAAT